GTAGTCAAATGAGACAAAGGTTTGTGAGAGCTCTTAGTTTGCTTACCTTGTTGACAAGGTCCACATACTTTACCTTTGGCAAACACAAACTTTGGCAATCCTTTCACAATATTCTTCTTGGAAATTTTACAATATCTTTGAAGTTCATACGTCCAAGTTTCTTATGCCAAAGATCAACATAATTTGATTTGGTGCTTAAACAAGAAACATTATTTGACAAAAGATATCAATTATTATTTGACAAAAGATATCAATTATCATTTGATCTCTTTCCCTCAAGCAAAGAAGAACCGTTAGCATTGAAAACTTGACACTTATTTTTTGAAAATTGAACAACACAATCTTTGTCACATATTTGACTAATGCCAATAAGATTTGCCTTTAGACCTTCAAAATAAAACACATCATTTAACATTGGGAAACTAGGAAAAATAATAGAAACTTTTCCAAGGATGTTACCCTTTTTCGTATCACCGTAAGAAACATGACCTTTTTCCACAAGTTCAAGATTGATTAATAAGGCTTTGTTACCTGTCATGTGTCTTGAACATCCACTGCCAAAGTACCATAAATCATTTTGAAAAGCAAGTAACGAAGTATGGACAACAAGACAATCAGCACTAAGCTTGGGTTTCCACATTTTATTGTTTTTGAACAAATTTTTCTAATGTGATGACTCGAGAAACTGAGGTGATGACCTTGCTGTATTAAAATCATTATTTCCAATGCATCTTTTCAAATATGAAATGAGTTTAAAATAGTTTGGTCTGATATGACCTTTCTTTTGGCAAAAATGACAAATAGGAATGAAACGTTTTACCATCAAGGTCTGATCATGTGGGGTAGTAACAGATTTCTAAACTGATTCAGTGGCGTTCACAAAGGTGGTCACTCTAGGTTTGGAAGTGCTAGCACCATGATAGAATCCCAAACATGTTTTATCACCAAACATCTTCCTTTGTCCAAGAACTTCATCAAATCAAGCTTGTATAAACCTACATTTAAGCTTTCAACGATGACCTTGGCCTCAGTTAGTTCATTTAAAGCTTGATTCAACAAAATTTCTTTATTGGACAACTCAGAAAACAATACTTTTATTTTGTCATTCAAAATTTTATTATCTTCTAAAAAGTGAGATTTTTCATATTCAAGAGATTTAATTCTCTTAAAGCCTTTTAACCAAACTTCATATATCTTGTCATAAGTCTCATGTCGCTCTTTGTAAACATCACTAGAATCATCCGAGGACACACTGTTACTATCCTTTTGAATAGCTTTAAAGTCTAGAAATTGTTCATTTTCTAGTGTCATAACCCTCACTTTCAGAGTCATCACTTTCACTCAATGTGGCAGCCATGACTTTTCCCTTTTTCTTAAGAGTGTTTGCACACTTAGATTGAATATGACCATAGCCTTCACACTCAAAACATCTAATTCCTTTATTTTTCTTTTCATTTTCCCTTAAAAATCTTTTCGAAAATCCTCCTTAACCAGATTGGTCAGAAAATCTTTTGACAAAAGATTGTTTTCCCTTTTTAGCCACATTCAGCTTTCTCATGTTCTTTTTCAAGAATTTTGAAAAGTTTTTAGTGATTAAGGCAAGTTCATCATCTTAATTATCACTAACATCACAAATAACTGGAGAATCAGAAGTTACCTCATGTTTTAACGCAAGCCCTTTACCTAATTTGTTTTCCCATCGATTCAGGTCATGTTCGAAGGTCTGCAAAGATCCAATCAATTCATCAAGGTTGCAGCATTCTTCAATAGAGGTTACTTTGGACATAAATCTTTGAGGTAAGGAGCATAACACCTTCCTAACAAGTTTAGCATCAGAAAAGATTTATCTTAAAGCAAACCACTCATTAGTGATATCACAAAATCTACCATGAAAATCAGTAATGGTTTCATTATCATGCACAACAATATTTTCATAATCCATGATTCATTTTTTTAGTCTGGTCTTTTTCACAATGTCAGTTCCATGATTTTTAATTTGGTGTCTATCCCATGCATCTTTAGCTGTTTCACAATTTTCAATGTTTTTCATTTTCCTATACTAATAGCATTAAAAATGGCACGAAGTGCTTTAGAGTTAAAATTAGATGCTTCTAACTCTTCCTTAGTCCATTTATCAAGTGACTTTTCTTGACCCCCACTAGCTTCATCAGTTTTAGGTTCTTGCCAACCAACCAAACACGCATGCCAAGCCCTCTCATCAATAGATTTTAGGAAAGCACGCATCCTAGGCTTCCAAAACGTATAGTTGGTTCCCTTCAACAAAGGTATACCATAAGTGTGATCACATAAGATTACGGTGGTCACCTACAAAGAAAAACGGAAGGCAAAAGAAATAGAAACAACACGGGGTGATCACACAGTCCCCAAGGGGGTCACACAAGGTTTGAAGAAAAAAATGCAAAAAATAAACCAGAATAAGCGGAGCAAAAGCAATAAAAATAAATCAACAAGCAATGATCAACTGAAATAACTTTCCAGAACATACTCTGACATCAAATGAAAGTTTTAAATTTACCAAGTGAATTAAAACTTAAGCGGAAATGGTTGCTATGTTGATTTTAAGAGTCCATTAAACATAAACAAAAAGCAACAAACATAAAACAAAGTAAAAACGCACAAGATTTTTACATGGTTTGGCAAAATGCCTAACATGGGACCAAGTCCAGAATGAAGCCAATCTGCTAGGTTTACTTTTCAGTTCAATTACAAAGTCAGAGATTAAGCCTCAGTTACCAAAACACCCTTGTTTTGCAACGCTTCAATCTCTACCCTTTGGTTAAACAACGTACAACCATAGTGAGCTTGCAGGAGCACACAAGCAACACGGTTAGCCTTGAACTTCTCCCAAGGACCAGAAATAAAGACGCACTTTAATGGAGGAAGCTCAACATGCTACATCTCAAGGTGAGTAGGGACGTATTATGGGTACTTTGAAGGAGGTATTTTAAAGTTTTACCTAAGCATAGAAACCTGACAAAAACAAAGTAAAAAATCAGAGAATTTTTAGTGTACTTTTCAGAGAGATATCAAGCTTGAGAAAAGTGCAATGGAGAAGAGTTTATATAGGAAAACAGTCGGCCAATGCAAAGACAGGTAGCAAGAAAACCTTTATTGAATTTACCTTTATAAAAGTTAATCTCAATATCAAGATGCCACCTATCAAAGAGAATAAAACTTTCTAGCATGTTGAGTATAAATTTGATAGGTGTTATGGACCACAAAAATATCTCAAAAGAGAATAAAACAGCTCATGCATTCTAGAAGCATAGCACGTGTAACTCAAATAAAACTGTCAGATACGAGGTGATCACTCTGACTCAGAGCCCGATACTGCATATAACCAACACAAGAGAAGGTGGTCACCTTAAACATAGGTGATCATACTAGAAGTTTAAACAAAATTGATTGTGCTAAGACAAGGTAAGGTGATCATACTAGGATTGAGAGTTACCACTTTAGGTTCATAAGTTGACAAATAACTTACAATTTCATTCATTGCAATTCTACAATATACAGGCTAGATACAAGAATATTTACAAGGAAATAACAAAGTAATTAATTACATAATATTACAGGAAATATCCTATAACTAAGAGTATTAACCATATCAATCTCTTAACTATAGATATTCTAACATAATTTAGAATTTTGAATCATGTTTAAGTTTTTGAATTTTTGAATTTTTGAATTTTTTTTTTTTTTTAGTGCGTTTTATTTTAATGGGTAGTGAAGATTAAAAATTCTTCAAATTGATTTCTCAGAGCTTTAAGTAGCAAAACTAAGCGTTTGGCAGGAGAGAAAATGAGTTGAGAATAATCTACAAATTGAATTCTGAAGCACATTTTATACGAGCACTGTTCCTTTTATTAGCATTTTTGTCTTAGAGGAAAAAAAAAATTGTACAAATTAATAATTTTACTCCTACCCTCTTTGCACATTTTCTTACCAACTCATCCATATTTCGAAATCTTTAGCTTTCTTCATTTGGGTTTTGTTTAGATTTTGGGAAAAAAAATTTAACCCCGTGCAATTTATTAAATACTATATTTATGTTTTTAAATTTCTTTTTAGACCTTATTTATTTATTTAATATGGAAAATACCTTTTATAGTTTATACTTAATTTTTTTTCCTTATTATATTTCACACTTCCATAAAATTCTTAGAAAAATTTAAATAATATTTAAACCTTAAAATTGATTTATTTTTTGTTTTGATTAAAAAAAAAATTCATAATTCAATCCAATAATTAATTTTTACATATTCAAATAGATGAGAATATAATCTGATTTAAACTACAATTTACATCTCTAGTAAATTAATAAATAGAAAATATATATTTGTTATTCTAAAACTATACATTTCTCATACCTAAAATTATTATTTCCATTTAATCCTATATATATTTGAAAGTAAATTCTTAGTAGATATAAAATGGATTGTGAGATTTTATAGGACAAGAATCCTCTCATTGTTTTTTTCCCCATTATGGATAAAAATAAACATATAAAGATAATCCAAAAATATAAATAATATAAAACTCAATAATTAAAAATTTGAAATCTAACATAAATATTATTTCTAGTAATTAAATTTAAAAATGGAGATATAACCATCTAAGGAATTAAAATCAATGTATTATTAACATTAATTATTGGGATAGTAATTGACAAAGAGTTGACAAAACCCTTATTTGGGGCATGCCATGTGAAGTGCACTAAAATTATGGATAAAGTTTGTGTTAATCTAATCCTTTAAAAAACAGAAAAAAGAAAAATCGATCTTGCACATTATTATCCATCTACAATTTAGGACTAATAAATGACATGCAACAAACAGTGATCCCTTAAAAACGTCTGTTTCTATAGCTTGGTGAGAAAGGAAAGCTTGCTGCCTTAAAACGTCTGTTTCTATAGCTTGGTGAGAAAGGAAAGCTTGCTGCCTTAAAACGTCTGTTTCTATAGCTTGGTGAGAAAGGAAATGTCTGCTGCAGAATCCTATGCCATGGTTGGTGGAGATGGAGCTCACAGCTATTCTAAGAATTCTACCTACCAGGTATCATCTTTATAACCCAAAGACATATCTGATTATACCCTTTTATTTAAAACATATTTTGATTGCTTTGGCTGTGTTTATTTTGAGAATTTTTTATTTTGTTCGGAAAACACACCATTAGATATTTTCAGGGATCTTAACTAAAACCAATGAATCCGGATAACTATATATTTTCAGTTTTAAAGATGGTTTCTCTCAACAAATTCAATCATTAATTTACAGTACTTTCATGTGCAAATTTAAGTTCGTGGAAATTTAACGTGAGTTTATGGCTACAGAGGCTAGTGGTGGATGCGGCAAAGGAAATGATCAATGAGGCCATAGATAATAATCTTGACATAAAAAACTTGGGGATATTTGATTCTTCCAAACCATTTAAAATGGCAGATTTGGGATGCTCCACTGGACCTAACACCTTCATTGCCGTGCAAAACGTTATAGAAGCCGTGGAGAAAAAATGCCTTATCGAACACCAAAACCCTTCAGCCCTAGAATTCCAAGTCTTCTTTAATGATCAATATGAGAATGACTTCAACACTCTCTTTAAAACCCTTCCTCCCTCACGAAAATACTTCGCCGCTGGAGTTCCAGGTCCTTTTCAAAGCTGCTTGTTTCCCAAGTCCACTCTACATTCAGTACACTCCTCCTATGCATTGCATTGGCTCTCCAAACTTCCAGAAAAAATTGTGGATAGAAATTCTCCTGCATGGAATAAAGGTAGTATATATTGCACAGGACTGCTGAAAGAAGTAACTGAGGCCTATTCAGCTCAGTATAACCAGGATATGGAGTCCTTTTTGAATGCTAGAGCTCAAGAACTTGTGGCTGGAGGATTAATGGTGATTGCATTATCTGGTTTACCAAATGACATCCCTATGTCCAAGACTACTGAGGGTACAATCTATAATTTGCTAGGATCTTGCCTAATTCAAATGGTCAAGTCGGTAAGAATGATATGATTTACCAAAAGTACTATATAATAATAATAATAATAATAATAATAATAATAAGTGTTATTTTTTATTGAAGGAATTAATTAGTGAAGAAAAAGTGGACTCGTTCAACTTCCCTATATATTATCCAACCTCTTAAGGAGCTGGAAGCTATCATAAAAAGAAATGGACTATTCACAGTTGAGAGAATGGACATATTTGCTCCCTCTCTGACAGGCATAAAATATTCTGCCGAAAGTTTAATCTCACATACTAGAGCCGTCTTTGGGGGATTCATCAAGGAGCATTTCGGAAATGATTGTGTAGAGCAGATATTCAACCATTTCACCACAAAGGTCGAAGAGAATTTCTCAAGTGATTTGAAAAGCACTGACAAGGTTAGCTTATTCATGGTTCTCAAGCGCATCAGCAACTGATTAAGGTCTATGCTGCATATACGAACTTCTATTAATCAATGTATCCCGCACTGATGTTGCCATGTCAATCTACATAATATCCATGTTCATATAATAAAAATTTCATGAATGTATTTTCCACCATATATTCATGGTCTATATTATGTGAAGTGAATACATGATCTAATATATTATTAATTTAACACAACTGATAAAATATATATATATACCTTCATTCATAATTGAAATTCAAAGATTATTTTTAGAATATCTAAATTAATAGACTCCACTTAATTATTAATTCCCAAACCAACAACAAGAAGATGAGCTATCACTCAAGTCTGCACAGACAAAACACAGAGAAGGCCATCACGATTGTTGGCCAAAATCAAGCAAAGCTTGATAAATGGCTTGAATCAAGCAAGACTTGATCAGCAGCTTGAATCAAACAAAGCTTTAATTTAGTCATTAGCATGATTCTAGCATGTATTATAATGTATAAATAGAGAGCTCTTGTACATTTGAAAATACACACTTGAATATACAATTTCATTCTTTGCCTCTCTCTAGAACAATGATCATCAGTGCTGAGTTTGAGATATGGTTTCACATACAAAACAACAAGCACTCACTGCTTGTGAAGACGTTTATGGCTTGAGGCAATTTCACTGAAATCTTATATATTAAAATAAGAAAGACATTGGTACAACTACAAGAATATTTGCCGGCAAGGAAACAGATATATCTTAAAGTAGATAGAAGATTTAAGGTGTAGAAATAAAATAGGGCTTATGATGTAACTTAATAATAAAATTCTATGGCCTCCTCAATAATATTGTTGGTGAATGATAAATTATATGGGCAATACTACATTGACAAACGAATCTTATAAATTTTCTCTCATAAACTTAACGTGATAGTTAATAATTGAGTTTTAATATATTTTTCTGTCTCATGAATTCATCAAAAACCAATTATCAACTGCTACGTTGAGTTTATAAGAAAATGTTTGTGAAATTTGTTTACCAATCTATCTTTATTAAAATTATATTACCAGAAAATTGACATAACTGTAATTTAATAAGATAATAATGGTACAAAAGACAATGAACGGAGTCACTCTTCTAGCCATTTTGCTTTCAAGTATGCCTATAGTCATGATGTGATGTAAATGGGATGATGCCAATGATTTTGGCAAGAAATTAATATTCAATATTTAATTTTATGGTTAAATTAAGAATAAGCAAAATCAACCAAATAATCTTAGCCCCACTACATGATATGCCTGCAAAAATATTATATAACAGCAACTTATACAGTTAGAGAACGACTTGTGTTCTAATACAAAAGAGCAGCTGATATGTGCCTATAGTCAAATATTATTTCCTTTAAATGTACATATGCATGTATCAAATTTCTGTCATAAACTTTTGATAACAAAGATTTTCTTAATTGTCGCTGTTTAAAAGGCTATAAGTCATAAATGGTGGCTATTTAAAAGTTTCAATTTCACATGAGCCTTTAAATTAAAACAAGTCGGTGCTTTCTTTACATTATTCTTCTCTTTTACATTTTTCTTTATAAATATAAAAGAAAATTCTGAAATAAATTGGTTGGGACCATTTAATTGCTAAAAAAAAAAATTTTACAGTTTTTAATTTTAATGTGAGAAATTTATATGAAATTTTTGTTTTTTAATTACAGGTCCCAACTAATTTGATGGGGAGTTTAGAAAATTCAAGTATTTATATAAAACGAAACGAGTGTGAAGCTTGTAGTGAAGAAGTCAAACAAAGCAATCAGAGTTACTATAGACATTGACAACATTGTTAAAATAATAATAATAATAATAATAATAATAATAATAATAATAATTCTTATCAATTTCTTGATGAAGAATGTATAAGCTGCATCTTTTATACATATACACTTAGAAGGGTAAGTATTGTCATCCATTGAACTAATTAGAAAGGCCACCTCAAAGACATTTATTTGTAGGTTGAAGAGATCAGGAAGAGAAAAATGGTTAATCCAGAGACCAAGAGTTTGGCTGAATTCTATCCCATGGTTGGTGGAGATGGAGCTCGTAGCTATGCTAAAAATTCTTGTCACCAGGTATATCTTTTACGTCGACACAGATCATGCGATATGTGAAATATATCTATATAGTCTTTTTGATAGAGTTCAGGGGTACAGGCTTGGATTAGTTAATAGTGAAAATTGAAAACAAGATGAAGAAACATTAAAAGTGTAGTTAATTTATAACATAGAAAGTGGGTTTTGTAACATGGAATTAACTTCACAGTATGTTTAGCACTTAATTTACTGATTCATATGTTTTTTATATATTAGGGTCATAATACAATATAACAAACTAATCATATAAATTGATAGTTGTATCAAATTTATCCTATTCACTAAACATGGCTGAAATTTGAGTTTATGGTATATTTACAGAGGGTAGTGGTGGATGCTACAAAGGAAATGGTAAAAGACGCCATAGCTGATAACCTTGAATTAAAAACCATGGAAATTGATGCTTCCAGAACATTTAAAATGGTGGATTTGGGATCCTCTACTGGCCCCAACACCTTCATCGCCGTCCAAAACATTATAGAAGCTGTTGAGCAAAAATACCTTGCTCAACACCAAAACCCTTCTGCCCTAGAATTCCAAGTCTTCTTTAATGATCATTACGACAATGATTTCAATACTCTCTTTAAATCTCTTCCTCCCTCACGAAATTACTTTGCCACCGGTGTTCCAGGTTCATTCCATAGTCGCTTGTTTCCTAATTCCACTCTTCATTTTGTGTATGGTGATTGTAATATCTACTTTACCAAATGAGATTCCTATGTCTAACACTACTGAAGGTAAAATTTATGATTTGCTAGGATCTTGCCTTATTGACTTGGTCAAGATGGTAAGGATTATATTATTTAGGAAAACCTTTACTGCTCATAATTTTTTCTCGGAAGTAGTACTGAAGTATTATTTCTTAATGCAGGAATTGATTAGTGAAGAAAAAGTAGACTCCTTTAACTTCCCTCTATACTATCCAACCCCAAAGGAGTTTGAGACTATTATAGAGATAAATGGATTATTTACCATTGAGAGAACAAACATATTGGCATACGCTGCAATGGAAAAGACATTCTCTGCGGTAGATTCAACCTCAAAAATTAGGGCTGTGTTTGAGGGACTTATCAAGGAGCATTTCGGCAATGAAGTTGTAAACCAGATATTCAACCATTTCACAACAAAGCTCCTCACTGGAAATATCTTAACGATTGATGATCTTGAAAACCATAACAAGATCGACCTATTCATCTCACTCAAGCGCATCGATCATCAACTGATTTGATGTATTATGTTTGTTCAACTATGATGTAAAGAATTTCATGAATGTATTTTACCTGCAGGCATCAATATTGCCATATGGGAATTTTGTGTAAAATATATTCATATTCCAATATTCATATAAAGTTGATAATCCAATCAATTTCAACATAAAATCTCCATGGAATATATGCGGAAGTAAATGACAAACCTCCAGTCTTAGCAATTGTTGTTTAATCTTCTTGCTCCTTCAAAATACAGGATCTTCCAATGACTGAATCTGAAATAAAAATTGCATCTACTGGGGAGCTGTAAAGTCTCCTTTTATATGCAGTTGACCACATCAGTCCACATCAGTAAGAACCAAAATGTAATTATATTAAAAATGTAGGACCATAATGTAAAAAGTCTAACATTCTCCCACTTGGTCCAAACTTTTATAATATAATCCAAAACTCAAGAGATGTATATGCGGTATGTTCAATTAGAAAGAGGAAATTACATGAATCATAGTGGTAAGTCCTTTGTAAACAAGTATGACCTCTCATAGTGACAAAACGGGACATAGTCCCATTTGAACAACATGATCCCTGAACGTCTTTGATGGCATGCCTTTTGTTAGAGGATCATCAATCATCTACTCGGTATGTATGTGTTCAATGAGCACTTTCAGATATTTTCAGTTTGAGTTGTACTATAGATATTAATTAAATTACCGTATATGTCTTTTTCATTCAATAAAAAATAACCCTCTTCTTAATTCTTTATTATCTCAAGAACCTCAGCCTAAAATATTGAGAAGGCCCATGCCATGTGGCTAATCCAATTCAAAGGCCCAGGATCAGCAGAGGAGCCATGTTCAGGCCGGCCACCTTAGGCCTTCCAAAATTTTTAAAATTCATAAATTTTATTATAATCTTAGTGAAATAAATGTAATAGATTAAATAAGACAAAATGCTAAGAAAATAAAGTCGAGAAGGGGGTTGTAAACGTTTCTATTCTTTTCACTTCATTGTTGTAGAGCAAGTGAAGGGGAGGGGAGGCTTTTATAGCTAACGCCCCCTCCCACCATTCACCGCCTCAAAGTTAAGGCAGTAGATGTCCACCACTATTTTACAACACTCCCCCTTGGATATCCACTGGTTACAGATACGTGTATTTATCCTTACTCAAGAAAAATCCTGTGAGAAAAAACCTAAGTAAAGAAATACAACTGTAACGTGAAGTTGGACGTGCTTCATGCTGCCTCATTAAAAACATTGTCAGAAAAACCCAATGGGACAAAACTTGATCAAGGAAAAAAAAGTACAATGCACATATGTCCAGTACAATAAACAGACAATATACTTGTCTAAAAACTCCCCCTAATTGTTGTTCTTCTTGATCAATGCTCCCCCTCATAGTGGTAGAATTAATTTTGTGACTTATTGAGCCGTCGCATACCGATGTTAACACTAACTTTTCAAATGTTGATGTCGGTAAGGGCTTAGTGAATAAATCTGCAAGATTATCACTGGAGCGTATTTGTTTGACATCAATCTCACAATTTTGCTGGTGTTCGTGAGTGTAAAAGAATTTCAGTGAAATATGCTTGGTTTTGTCTCCTTTGATATATCCTCCCTGACTTGAGCAATACATGCTGCATTGTCTTCATTTATAATTGTGAGAGCATATGAGGTACGTGGAAATTTCTATGTCCTTTCAATATAATGGATGACAGATCTTAACCATACGCATTCTCGGCTGGCTTCATGAAGCGCAAAAATCTTAGAATGATTGGAGGATGTAGCAACCAATTTCTATTTTGTAGAGTGCCATGATATTGCAGTACCATTATGAGTGAAAACATATCCCGTCTATGAGTGGGCTTTGTGAGGATCAGAAAGGTACCTAGCATCTGTATAGCTAACTAATTTAGGATCATTAACAGATTTCCTTGGATAAAATAATCCCAAGTCTTTTGTTCCACTGAGGTAACAAAAGACATGTTTGATCATATTCCAATGTTGGCGAGTTGGTGTAGAGCTAAATCTTGTCAATAGATTCACTGCAAATGCTATGTCTGGTCTTGTACACTGTGTCAAATATAATAATGCACCTATTGCATTTAGATACGGTACTTCAGGACCAAGTATCTTTTTGTCATCTTCTTTAGGATAAAATAGATAATTTTTAGGATCAAGAGACCGAACTACCATTGGGGTACTCAATGGGTGAGATTTATCCATATAAAATCGCTTAAGGATTTTTTCAGTATAATTTGATTGATGGAGCAAAACTCTATTTGAACAATGCTTGATCTGTAGGCCAAGACAATACTTTGTTTTCCCCAGATCCTTCATTTCAAATTCTCTTTTTAAGTATTCAACAACTTTTGTGACCTTTTTAGGAGTCCCTATTAAGTTCATGTCATCAACATATACTGCCACAATTGCAAATCCTAATTCCGACCTTTTTATAAAGACACACGAGCATACAAGATCATTGATGTATCTTTTCTTAATCAGATATTCACTAAGACGATTATACCACATTCATCCTAATTGTTTCAACCCATATAACAATCTTTGTAATTTTATTGAATACATGTTCCTTTTATTTGGTTTTGGCACTTTGAATCCTTCAGGGATTTTCATATAGATGTCAGTATCTACCATACAAATATGCAGTGACAACGTCCATGAGATGCATATCAAGTCCTTCTGAGACTGATAAACTAATCAAGTATCAAAATGTGATAGCATCCATCACTGGTGAATATGTCTCATCAAAGTCAATTCCAGGTCCTTATAGGAAACCTTGAGCCACTAGTATAGCCTTATACCTAGCAATCTTATTTTTCTCATTTCGTTTCCTTGTGAATACCCACTTGTATTCTACGGATTTCACGTTTTCAAGCATTTAGACTACAGGTCCAAATACATTACGTTTTGCTAGGGAGGTTAATTCTGCTTGAATTGCCTCTTCCCATTTTGGCCAATCATGTCTTTGTCGACATTCATCAACAGAACATGGCACAAACACATCATTCATCATTTCAGTACCTATTGCATATGAGAATATGTTATCGACAATAGTTGTCTCACGATTCCACATTTCTCTAGAGTGAGTATAGTTTATAGAAATTTCTTCATTTATATCTTGTATTCCTTCAGGGATTTCTTCCTCTTTAGGGGCTTGTGTCCTTTCAAGGATTGTTAACTCTTCTGGAGTTAGTTTAGAAAATGCGGAATTGTCAATTATTCTAATATTGTCAATATTGGCACTTATTTGATTATGTGCCTTTCGTTTCCTAGGAACAGTATCTTTGGTTCCAACAGGCCTACCACACTTTTGGCATATAATAGATGAGTCGATCACTGCCCGTATGGATTGTTCATTGGTAACATCATTCCTTGTTGGTGTATTGACAACAAGAATGTATGATCTTGTTATCTTTGCTGCATTTGTAAATGCATCAAGCATTTGGTTGGTAATATTTTACAAATGTGTTATTCTTTGCACTTCAATTTCAAATTGAGATGTGCGAGGATCTAAATGAGACATAGAATTCACTTTTCAGGAAAGTTTAGGCCTTACTTCAAGAGGCTTTACCTTTTTCCCTAAAGATGGGAATGTTATCTCACTAAAATGGCAATCCGCAAAACGTGTAGTAAATAGATCGACCGTCAGGGGCTCAAGATATCTGATGATAGATGGTGAGTCATAGCCAACATATATTCCCAAACGACGTTGGGGTCCCATTTTGGTGCGTTGAAGGAGTGCAATTGGAACTTGCACAACACAACCAAAAGTTCTTAAATGGGATATATTATGCTAATGTCCAAATGCAAGATGTGTTGGAGAGTATTGATGATATGTAGTGGGTCTTAGGTGAATTAACGCTGCAACATGTAAAACAGCATGAGCCTAGGCAAAAGTTGGTAATTGCGTACGTAATAACAAAGTTCTTGTAATTAATTGGATACATTTTATAAATGACTCTATCATACCACTTTAGGTATGTACATTGTGGTATTGGGTGCTCAACATGAATTCTCATTGCTGTACAATAGTCATCAAATGTCTTTGAGGTAAACTCACCAGCATTATCTAGATGGATTGCTTTAATTGGGTAATGTGGAAAGTGTGCCCGTAGTCTAATAATTTGTGCCAACAATCCAGCAAAGGTAACATTATGGGTAGATAGTAGACAAACATGTGACCATCATGTCGATGCGTCAATCAATACCATAAAGTAGCGGAAATGTCCACTTGGTGGATGAATAGGTCCACATATGTATCCATAAATTCTTTGTAAAAATGATGGGGATTCTACTCCAACTTTAGTGATGGATGACTTTAAGTGCTAATTTGCTTTGTGAGAAACAATACAAACACTCTCATTAGGTGATAAAATCTTCAGGTTATTTAATAGGTGCCCATGTGAGTTTTGTATGATTCTACGCATCATAGTAGATCCTGGGTGACCAAGATGGTCATGCCAAATTTTAAAAAGTTCAGGGTCAGTGAACTTCTGGTTCATAACTACATAGACTTTAACATTCTTCAGGAATGTGTAATATAACCCTGATGAGAAAGCTGGAGTTTCTCTAGTACATGCTTCTGGCATGAAATATTAGCAGTGATGCATATAAACTCTCCATCCTTTTCACTTAAAGTTTCAATGTGGTATCCATTGAGTCATATATCTTTGAAACTAAGCGAATTTCTTATGGATTTGCTAGAATATAAAGCATCATGGATATTGTTGGGGAGAGAGTTGTATGTTTAACTCATTAGAGTATTGGTTACCCATTTTAAGTGTAGTGGAAATATTACCAAGTTGTTTAAGACAATTCCAATTTAACCACATCAAACACAAGTGCAGTAAATAAAGAACACAGTTATATACATGGTTCGGCTAAATCCATTTTTAGCTTACATCCATGGGACCTTGTCCAGATCGAAGTAATCCACTAAGTTAAAAAACACATTACAAGATATAGTTCAAAGTTGATCTAAGATACAGTAAAAAAAACTCCATGTTCAACTT